CACCACCCCCCCGACAACCCTGCCCACCTCTAGGCGAGTCGTACGAGGTCTGCCTGACGACCCAGTTCCGCGCGCCTCCGCCTCGCGCCGCGCCTCCGCCCTCCCCGCTCGCGCTGCACCTCGCCCTGCGCCGCGTCAACCCGGCGCCGTACGCCGCCTTCTTGCACTTCGACCTGCCGGCCCTCCGACCCGCCCCCCCCGCCGAGGGTGGCGAGCGGGAGGCCGCCGCGGGGGGCGCCTTCAGCGTCTGCTGCTCCTCCCCCGAGCGTTTCTTGCGCATCGGCGCCGACGGCTCCGTCGAGTCGAAGCCGATCAAAGGCTCACGACGTGACGCGCGGGCGTGCCCAGCCCGCCGGCGCGCGCAGAGCTCGAGCCCCTGCGTCTCTAGGGACGATGCCTCGAGGGCCGACGGCCGAGCTCGACGCCGCCAATGCCGAGACCCTGCGCACTTCGCCGAAGGCGCGTTCGCCCACACGCGCGCCCGGTTGGTCTCGCGGCGCCGGTGCTCCATCCCTCGCCCCTCGCTTCCCTTCAGGACCGCGCCGAGAACCTGATGATCGTCGACCTCGTGCGAAACGACCTCGGCCGCATCTGCAGGGTCGGCTCGGTCCGCGTGCCAAAGCTGATGGCCATCGAAACCTACGCGAGCGTCCACCAGCTGGTGTCGACCGTGACGGGCGATCTGGAGGACGGGACAGATGCGCTCGACGCCGCCGCATGCGCTTTCCCGCCGGTACCCCCCCCCCACCACCGCCCCACCCCCCCCCAAATCGAGGCGCTGTCCGCCAACTTCGCGCAACGCCCATCGCTGCAGGGCTCGATGACGGGGGCCCCCAAGACGCGCACCCTCCAGATCATCCACGAGCTCGAGCGAGGGGTGCCCCGCGGAGTCTACTCGGGCTCCCTCGGCTTCTTCTCCATCGACGGGGCGTCGGACCTCAACGTCGTCATCCGGACAGCGGTGGTGTCGGCGGAGGGCGTCAGCCTCGGCGCGGGCGGCGCCATCGTGACGCAGTCGAGCCCCGAGGACGAGTGGGAGGAAGTGCTCGTCAAGGCGCGGCCTGTGATCCGCGCGGTCGAGTGCTGGCTGCGGCCCGGCGACGAGGCGTGTTGATATGCTGAGGGCGGCCGCCACCGCCCTAGCCCACCAACACCCTGCACGACCTTGCTGCCTTGTGCCAACCTTGGAACGTCGGCATGCTACAGGACCTTCTCCACAGGACCGGCCAATCAACATAGATAATGACTCACATAAAGTGTGTCATACGCATACGCCCAGAGAGCCTGCTGCTACGCTAGCGTACAGTTCGTTTACCGTGTTTACGCTTACTTGCGCCGGTATCGATGGTCACTGGTGTGCAGTCGTGCGCAGCATATCGCCTGTTCACTCGCGAGCCGCCGTCCCGGCGGGCGCCTGCAATGGTTGGGTAGTAGGGCTAGAGGGTCGCTCTACACTTAGCCTCTGTGCAGCGAGCGAGCGCTCAACTTAGCCCCCGCACGGAGCCGGGCTCAGACTTAGACCCTCATGGTCGGGGGCCATGAACTTAGACGACATAAGGCCAACTCCGGGTAAAACCCGGGTATACCTGAAAAGCTTTCAGGTTTACCCGAAAAATACCTGGACGCGTCCCGACC